GTGAATAGATAACATTACAGAATATTGGACAATTAAGATTTTCTTTGTCATCACATAGGCAACTAGCTTCACGAAATCTTTGCTGTAGAAAAGACATCCATATTTGGCATCATAGGCCTTAGGAGAACTGAAAAGACTAGGTATGGAGTCTTATTAAACTTCTGCTTTACCATCATCAAGAACTGTCATTTCCCTAGAAGTCAGGCAAGACTTACTGTTTTACCTGCCCATTTTACTTACTTGCAACATTTTGACTACCCCATTACCTATGATAGCTATAAGAGACTGCTACTTTGCAGAGAGACAGGAGAGAGAGACAGAGACACGAGAGAGCAGTTCAGGGTCCTTCAGTTTTATGAATATGCATTGCACCCAAAAAGTGAAAGGGTCGTTCTAATAATCAGACTAAAATGCATTCATTTGACCCAACAGGTCACTGTGAAGCTAGTGTTCCACTTCCAAGTCTGGTAGGAACAGACCGAGCTACCTAGGTATTCTCTACCACAATCATAGATAGTTTACTGCCTTGTTGTGAATTTCTCTTCAGTCCCTTGTTCCCTTTCACCCTCCAACAAAACACTTAGTAATGCATTTATTTCATATAATAATTGTTTAAAGAACCACTGGGTAGTATTCTCCATGGTATCAATTACACTCCCTTAATTGTGTAGGCAGAATGAGGTCTTTTTGCTCCAACAAGACCTCTACACATAGACATCATCCTGATTTCAATTACATATATGCTGAATCAGGTTTCTGGCATCTCTTAGATTAAGGCTTTTAGTTTTAAAATTAGCAATATAAACTAACAACAAGCTATTAAAAGCACCACAGCCAATGCATGTCACAACAACTACTGAAAATATTCCTTCTTTTTCCATTCTTATTAATATAAACATATTTATCTAGCATGTTCTTAGATATGCTAGAAAGATCCATCTTTCACTAAATGGATGGCCATTAGAGGGCTCATAAGATCCTTTTCTGTCATCAAAACACTTAGCTGTAAAAAAGTTTAAAAGTGATTTCCCAGTGGACTAAGAACTATCTAATTAATGCTGTGATTACAGAAATCAGTAACTTCAGTCCAACTCATCATAAGCAATCAAAATCCACCTCTATTTGTCCTGTACATTCATCTGAGTCAGTGCACATGGCAAGTTTCACAAAGAAATGATGGAAAAGTTATGCTGAGATGAAATAAAGTGCATATGAATAGCCTAGTGTTGGACAAATACACAAAATATTTGTCTTATGCCTCCCACCAAATCATTCCATTTTTATGCATGCCAGGGTCACACCACCATTCTTTTCAAAGGGCATAATAAATACAAAGGACTGGTAGATGTGTGCAGACATTTGATTTTTTATGAGCTTTTTTAAGCTTTAAGAGGTGGTCTGACACAATTTTTAAGAAAGAATGAGATAAAATCCACACTAATATGCTCTCAGGAGTCCTTTATGGAAAAACACTTCACTTTCATTGTTTGAAAAGAATTATCTTCATAATGGAACAAATTTTCATAACAGCAAACAGATACTGTAAGTGCTCAGGGAATGATCCTACCATTTGGGAAGTCAGGATGATTTGCTATGACAGCCTGGTATCAAATGACCTACACAATGAAGGACACAAGGGTAATTTGAGAAAACAGCAAGAAATCCATGAGCAGATGCTGTTCCCTGCAAGCTGAGGCTACACTACAGAAGAAGTAAGAGTGAAGCCAGATCAGAAGCCAAGAGAAGTTTTAAAACATGAGTCAAAGAAATACATCGTCCTATATCTTACAAAATGCCAGGATATCTTAAAATGCAAAAAATATTTGCATCAGAGACTTGGTTTCTTAGACGTCTAAAGAAATTCTGACATTTTGTAGAAGGCAGGAATGAATAGCTAGGGTGATTTTATAAATGAGTCTAATTGCATTTGGTTGTTGAAATTTGACGGTGAGACTGTGGTGTAGTATAAAGAGAACCTAAGATTGCTTATATACCCACAAGTCACAATGTGTTTCACATATGATAATATCACATGAAATTTTACAATATGGCACTACAACTTAAATTCCAGGAGGATAGTATAACTCTGTAAATGATGAGTAACAATGAAGCATGATTCTATATAAAATCAGCTACCCAATGTTGGAAATAGAAGCCGCCTCTCTATTCCTTGTAAGATAATGTAAAATTGTGTTTTGTCAAGAGAAAAGGAAAAACAAAGATAGAATGTGAGCAACTTCTTGTGGGACATTCACTATAGTCCTGCGGGGATTGTGCCCTGCCTTCACCATTTTTTCTACAAGATGCCTCCCTTGACAGACATTGCAAATGGCTTGATCCCATACCACACCTATTTTGGAGTGCTGGTAATGATTTCATGCTGTTTGCTTCAGTAGGAGTCATTGTGCATTCGGAGAAGAGATGCATCCTTTACAGATACTGGTGGCAGCTGATGCCACAGTGGTTTAACTCTGAGGACCATAAACAGAATTATTCCTCTAGAATAAAATGAGGAGTGTAGCCTTGCAGCACCTTTTCTGGTATCCTTTGTGATAAGATGAAAGGCGGGTCAACACAGAGGAAGAGGAGATGGGTTGGGAAAGCAGGGGCAGAAATCCAGTCATATCTAATGTGGCCTTGTATCCAGTTTCTCCAGTCCTGAGAGAGCTAATTTAGTGAGAACTGCAAAAGGGTTTAGAGGCAACCCTGTGCCCTGAGCAAGATCTGATTCAAAAGGGTTTCAACTTGTACTCAAAAGATGTCCTGCGGGGCTGTATGATGCAGGCTGGGAGATGTACAGCTGATTACCAACTTCACCCCCTACCTGGCTTAGAATAGTCAATGAGCCAAACACTGGGAAGTTTTGCTGCTCCTGGGAAGATTCTGTACAATCACGACTCACTGGGAGACATCAGTTCACTGTGATTTCCTAGGGCCAAGGTTAGCAGCATTTGCAATGCTCAACATGACAAAGCTGTTTCTCAATGGAAAGAAGGGGCAAGATGTCTGCTTCAGAGAATACATAGAAAGAGAAGGGAAAGACAAGCATGGAAGTTCCTAGGACCAGTCATGGATGGTAGGGAAAGTTTCACCAAAACTTAAAAACAACTGAATTCTAGACTTGAATCTTTTGCAGCAATGTAGTAGGTGTGAGTTTAATTATAACCAATTGCCTTTCCTTTTATACTGGTATTTCTCCATTTTTCATAAACCATTCATGATTGACAATTAAAAATTTCATTCTCCATTTCCATCACCTGGCTGGAGAATCATCAATGAACATGACAAATGGGTTTCACTGGATCCATTACTAACACAAGTATAATTTGTATTTGCAACATTTAAATATTTATTTGCAGGCCAGAGAGACCGTACCTTTCAGCTGGTTGCCCAAAAGGCAAAAGAGTGACAATCTATTGACAGGGTATGAGAGACACACTTGACTTTGCAAATATATCAAACCAGCCTTGAAGACAAACTTCCCAGAATAGAATTCCTTACTTAAAAATAAAAGTTTAAAAGAAATTCTTTATTATTAATCCCAATCCCAAGTATCCAATATGAAAGCCAAAGCTGGGATAATTATGCACTATTCCCACGGGAACACCATAGTGCCACAAATAATCCTCATGAACTAGTCTCAAAGAGCCCAAATCATCTGAAGTGTAGCAATGACATGCTCAAAAGTGACATTTCTTTCTTTCTTTTTTTTTTTGAGACAGAGTTTCGCTCTTGTTACCCAGACTGGAGTGCAATGGTGCAATCTAGGCTCACCGCAACCTCCGCCTCCTGGGTTCAGGCAATTCTCCTGCCTCAGCCTCCTGAGTAGCTGGGATTACAGGCATGCGCCACCATGCCCAGCCAATTTTTTGTATTTTTAGTAGAGACGGGGTTTCACCATGTTGACCAGGATGGTCTTGATCTATTGACCTCGTGATCCACCCACCTCGGCCTCCCAAAGTGCTGGGATTACAGGCTTGAGCCACCGTGCCCGGCAAAAGTGACATTTCTTAAGGTCTCTCCATTCATCCTTACTAGTAAGCTTTAAGCTGTTGCTAAAAACGTTTCCTATCGTAACTGCAACACTGATCTTTTTTTTTTTTTTTTTTTGTAACAACAACAACAAATGCTTTTAATTGTACAAAGAGGAAAACACATCTGAGTTGTTGTTGTTATTGTTGTTTTTGAGACAGTCTTTCTCTGTTGCCAGGTGCCAGGCTGGAGTGCAGTGGAGCGATCTTGGCTTACTACAACCTCTCCCTCCCGGGTTCAAGCAATTCTCCTGCCTCAGTCTCCCAAGTAGCTGGGACTACTGGCGTGTGCCATCACGCTCAGCTAATTTTCGTATTTTTTAGTGGAGATGGGGTTTCACTATGTTGGCCAGGATGGTCTCGATCTCTTGACCTCGTGATCTGCCCACCTCAGATCTTTTAAGAATCTCCTCGAACACCAAGAGCAACTATTTCTATTTCTTACTCATCTCCCAACTAAGCTTTTCTCTCTCCTCTCATTTGGCATCCAATTAGGAATCACAGCTCTACTATGCACTATTGCTTTTTACCTCCCACAAAGTGGAGGGATGAGACAAGAAATGGGGTAGTTTCAGATTCAAGAAACAAAGATTTATTTTGAAGCATGAATTCTTGAGGCAATTTCACTTTAAATACTGGAGCTTAAGTAATATTCATATGGAAATATACATGTCCTCAATGGATTCACTGTGTTCCACTGGGATTCATAACTAGGAGACTGGTTTTTGCTGGAATGACTGTGCCTATATGAATAGAAATAACCCAATGCAAAGTCACACTGAGATTTTATAGATACTTTCTCTCTTGTTTCTTAGAAAAGTACAGGATCCAGAAACATTCTGGATACTGAAACTCTAGATGGCCTAGAAAGAATGAAACCACATCCTGGATATTTAAACTCTAGATGGCCTTTAGAACATTCAGTGATAACTAACAACTTACTGAGAGCACAAACTCAAATCAACTTACCAAGTTGCAGATCATACTTTGGTCTGTCTGCATTTTGAATAACGAAGTATCCTGGGGCTGAAAATCAAGAATAAAAATAGAAATTTTTTAAAAAAGATATTAAATTAGCTACCATCAGGGGTGTGTGTGTGTGTGTGTGTGTGTGTGTGTGTGTAGAGAGAGAGAGAAAGATTCTATCTATTTATCTATCTATCTATCATCTATCTAAATTTTTTTTGAGAAAGGTTACCTTCTGTCTCCCATGCTGGAGTATAGTGGTATGATCATGCTTACTGTAGCCTCCACCGAGGCTGAGCCTCCCAAGCAGCAGAACTACAGGCGCACATCACCAAGCCTGGCTAATTTTTGTATATTTTGTATAGACAGGATTTCATTCTGTTGCCCAAGCTGGTCTTGAATTTCTGAGCTCAAGAAATCTGCCCACCTCAGCCTCCTAGAGTGCTAGGATTACAGGTGTGAGCCACGATGCCTGGCCTCAATAAATATATTTTAAACATTTTAAAGTCCCTTTTTATTTTAAATAATTAAGACAAAAGATGCAAAAGTAAGTTTTGATGATAGTTATTCTAAATATAAGTCTCTGCTAGCAGGATACTATGAGCGTCATTAAACCAAGGGCACTGGCTTCAGGGGAGCATCTATAGTCCACAGCTTCTCTTCTCGCCGCTGACACCAAATCAGAAGATAGTGGTTGAAGTTCCCAAATTTAAACCTTTTAAATGTTGTAAATTCAATCTTAAAATATTACCTAAGTGTTCCTTCTATGGGTTATGTATGAGCCATAGGTTAAAATTTCATAAAATACGTTCATTGACCTAAACAAATCAGTTGGAGAAAATCTAAAGGAAAAGTCATCTCTAAAGGAACTTTCATCTCTCATTACACTGGTAGCCAGGTCTCCAGACAGGAGACCCAAGTATCCTTCCTGAGAAATCTGCTATGTCAAGGAGAAAAAAAATTGCTGGAAGAAATTGACATCAGGGGATCCCTACCAGAAAAGATGAGCCAGTGACTTTTGGTTGAAGATGGTGTTTTGAACACATGCAGTTACCTTTATTACCTCCTGAATTCAAACTAAACAACAAGAAGGGATTTTATTTTAAGGCATAAACCTATAAGGATGAGAAGAATGAGAAGAAAGACAGAAATTAACAAAATGTTGAAATTGGAAAGCAGATGAAAAGAGTAGTAACTTGGTGGATCAAAGAAATCTGTATCCTAAGATGATGTTAGAAATGGTGAAAATCAGTCCAATTTCTTCCTTAGAATGTTCAGTGGTGAAGAATTAGAAGCATGAAGAATCATGGGAAACAGGAGTGAGGGTGGTGGTAACAGCAGGAGAATAGCAGAAGTCTATTAAAAAGTCATCAGACGTCAAGATGTTCTTACCTATTAAGAACACCAAGCAACATCCTCGCCTACCCTAGCAGAAGTCTTGAGATTAATTATACAGAGGCTGAAACAGGGTCCCTGGACTAGGGGCACACAGGTACATCAGGAAGGCAGAAGCACTAAGTAAGTATTTACATAATAAATACTGAGACCATGCACACCCCTCTCCCCACTCTGCTCCTATTTTCCCCTCAATCACCTCCATTACACTAGCAGTCAGACTTGAACCTCCCAGACAGGAGATAAGACAAATCTTCCCTGGGAAATCTGGCCAGCCCAAAAGAAAAAAAATGCCTAAAGAATCTGACTTCAGAGGCTCCCAACGGAAAAGATGAGCCAGGAAGTTGTGTAACAATGCCTGCAGTCAATGAACTCTATCTACCTGTACAAGTGTCCAGTCAGCTTTTCAGCATCCCACTTTCAAATATGAGTATTCAGCCAAGATCACCAAACACCTGAGAAGTCTCAAACACAAAACAAAGAAATGGAATAGAAATGGGGGGAGGGGTGTGGGGGAAGCAAATGGAAGAAACAAAGACTTTGCAAAAAAATTCAAAACTGATTATTAACATCTTCAGAGATATAATGGAAGAGGATCATTCATGACAAAAGAAGAAGGTGCTATTGGAAAATAAATATGCAGTAAACAAAAAGAGTTCTTGGAAATTGGAAAAATTATAGGGGTGAAAAATCTGTTAGAATAGTTGGAAAACAGAGAAAGTAGAGAAAGACAACAGAGAAAAGGAAACAAAAAATAATAATAGAATGCTAGACAGGAAGTTGACATATAAAAAAGAGAAGTGTTATGGAATGAGAGAACAAAGAAAAAACGATAAATCTGTGAAATTTTTTTTTAAATTCTCCCAAAGCAAAACCCATAAATTTTGAGATTAAAAAGGCTTATACAGTGGATGAAAAGAGACTCAGACCACAGCTCATCATTGTAACATTTCAGAAACCACAGCCCATCATTGCAACATTTCAATTTTTCAGAAATTCAAAAAAAAAAAAAGGATTCTACAAAGTTCCAGAGAGAAAGGGAGAAGAGGAAGATGAGAGAGGTAGAAGGAGGGAGAGAGAGAGAAAGAATGAGGAGGGGGAAGAAGGTTTCTTACAAAATATCAAGAATCAAAATGACAGCTTCTTGAAGGCAACACTAGGTGGTAGAATTGAGTGGAGCAATGGCCTTAAAATTCGAATGGAAAATGATTTACAGCTTCTAATATAATATCCAAACTAGTAGCATGACATTAATATATACGTAGGATATTTTCAGATGTGTAAGGTCACAAACACGTACCTTTTGGGTACACTTTTTTCAGAAAGTGACTGGAGGCTGTGTTCCAACCAAATGAATGGTTAAACGACAAATGAGGAAACTTGCATTAGAAAACAGTGGATAGACAGGAGAGAGAGGTGAAGGCAGTCCCCATGACCAACAGGATGGGAGAAGCAGTGAGAACAGCTCTGCAGCAAGTCACGGTCTCAGAGTACCCAGTTCAGACCAGAGCAGCCCAGGAGGACAGACAGGCAATTTCTTCAAGAAGATGAAACTCATTGAATGTCTAATATTTTCAGTAAAATAGGAGATTTCTATAACTACAGAGTATGGGGTTGAATATGCAATAAGTACCTAGAAAACTAAGCATATCAACCAACAGGCGGATAAATAAGACCGACAATTATTACCACAAAGGAAAACAAAAATTCGGCATAAAACAAAATGTGAACTTCATGACTTGGCTGCCAAGAGTATTCTAATCACCATTATATTACCACAGATTGCCTGGATAGCTCTGATGGCACTCTATCAGAGGAAAGGCAGGAAGCAGAGGGGACAAATTGGGTGGGTAGGAGGCAGAAAATACTTTACGTCTTCGCCTTCCAGAGAGATGAGTCAATAGATAATACTTTAGAAATCAAGAGGCAGCATTACAAGAAACCCATGCACACATACAGGGTGAAACCAGAGAATTTGTTAAATGAAATGAAACTATTTACCTCTAAGAAATGGGAAAAGAAAGGAGTATATGCTGGTCTGAAGTTTTAAAATAAAAGCCCTTATAAACATCGTTACTTTTAAAATGATGTGCATTAATAACTCTGACGGAAATAGAAACCTGAAAAGAATGAGAAATTAATGGCAATGCCTATGATAACCTTTCAAAAGAATTTTCTGAAGATGGAAGAGATGCATTAACATATTTCTTTGTGTTTGTGTGTATCTGTATTTGTATGTGGGAGTGTCAGTGGGCTTTATATTTTTATAGATAACATGGGAAAATAATGAAACTTTTAAACAGAGAATGCTATTTATAAATATATTATGAATATGTATTTAGAAAATTCTAAATGCTAAATTATTAGAAACTGTGCATATCTGACATTCTGAGACAAAGCAGTCATCACAGACAAGTCTGTTTGAGGTCTCCATTGAAGAGAATGTCAGAATTGATCCAGGAGCCCGAGAGCCATGTGGCCAGCCTTTTACATAGGTTACACCAGCCTATATGATGGCACATACACAGTTAATGGGACAGTTCATCTTGTAGTTCCTTTTTCACAGACTCCAGAAAAAATAAGGCCCGTTGAACACAACCAGCATATGGTTTCTGATTTTCCAATAGCTCCTTCCTGGAGAACCACTGGAGAGACAAGGCTCTGTGCAGTGTGGCTCCTAAAGGAATCTCTAGAAGGAAGCTCTTAAAAATCTCTCACATTTTCTAAAGATCCATTTCATCAGTTCAAAACAATCCTAGCTCTTTAGAACAGCTGGATCCAGTGGATCTCTCAGATCAGAACAACTTCTAATTTCTAGCAGAGGAATTGGTAGAAGGTAGAATCCCATGGTAGAGCTAATCATACTAACAAAAGCTAAACTAAAGTCAGGGACCACTTAGCGTGTGCTAGACTTCTGTGCTAAACACTCCGTTGCATATCTCATTTAATCTTCACAATAATCACGCAATGTTGCTACAATTCTGTTTACATTATTCAGTTTATAAGTACTGGGGTCCAATGTTGTGCTGACATTCTTAATCATAAGTGGCACAGAGAACCAAACCACGTTGAAAAAAAAGTGCATCATTCTCAGTAGATGGATCTAGTAAAAAAAAAAAAAATAGATTCCTTACCTGTGTGAATCCATTAAATGAAACACCAGCAGCCTAAACAGAAACGAAAATCAGAGTGTGTTATTGTTTTCATTACCATTTTTGTAGGACCAGTAAATATCCATTAGACAAGTTGGAAAGTAAAGACTATCACACATTTTAAAATACAAAAGGTTGCTGTGCATGAAAGAACTTAGGAAATGCAAAAGGCCACACTGTATGATTTTAAATAGGCTGACAAAAAAAAAAGTTAATTTTACAATTATTGCTGCTGCATTATTTTTTGGTGCTAACCAAAACCTACTCTCTCTATAAGGAGAAGATGATTCCAGAAAAGGGCCATTATGGGTTACGTTGCTTTTCAGGCCATTGACAGGATCTGGAATAAGCTTTTGCAGTGTTTCTACAATGCATCATTTTGATGAACAGCAATGATGATATTTTACACTTTCAGTGGGCCTGGGCTGAAACGTTTCATGTGTTCTTAATGGAGTGGGACCACTTTAGGAAGATTAAATTAGTCTCTGCTGCTCTCGGTTTAGCACATTTTTAGTACCTGAATAGTAGGGAGAATAAACTCAGAAAATAAGATGGTAACACAGACTCTCATTAATTCCCAACACAATCATTCTGCTTTGTGTGTGTGTGTGTGTGTCTATGTTGTTGATTTTTTTGTTGTTACTGATGCTGCTTTTTTTTTTTTTTTTTTTTTGGTCAACCTATTTGTGTTTGGTTTGCACAGATTTCAAGAAGTACATGACACTCCGTTAGAGAGATCAGGCCTCCTAGAAGATAGTGATGGATAATGAAGTAGGTGAGAGACATGAGGAAAAACAGAACCTACAGAAGTCTTTGGCTAGTCTACACTACAGACTAGGGTAAGTACCTCGTGTTTGTCAGCCTCTATTTCTTGGTACAACAATCCATATCTCTGGTTAGCAATTTCATCTTCAGATAAATCTGAGTTGTTGATGTCCTGGTCTTGGGAACTAGCAGAAATCTCAGTGCCAGCATTCCGGCAGGTCCCCAAAATCAATGGTCTCGCTATCTCCTGGCTTTGTTCCCAGTAGCTAGCAATGGCTTGTTCCCCACATACACCTGCTAGTAAGTGCACCTCCAGTTCTTCCTTGTGCTCAACTACATCTAAATGTTTCCAGCTATTATCTAAGCCTTCTGTATCTCTGATAGGCCAGTGGTTAATAGAATCCAGACAATTGGCAAATCCACTTGCTTGGCCATCTGGTATACCAGAGAATCCTGTTATATCCAAATTATTCATTGCTGAATTCAAGCTTGGCTGGCAGATTTGACCTGGATATGTTCCCCAAGAGTCTATCTTTGCAATTCTTGGCGAGTTAACAGTATGACTACAGTTTTCAGTCACTGTTCTTTCAGACCCTTCTATTAGTGAACTTTCTGCCTTACATGAACATAAATCTCTCCCATTTGCATCCCTTCCCAGAGAGTAACTAAGGTCAGTCCTAGACTGAGCTTCTACTTCAAGCTTTATTGATAAAACAGCCTGATTTTTATCCCTGTCACCTACAAGAGCATTTAACACAGTCTCACACTGAATTTCTTCAGCATCTGTACTGCCTTGTGCTGGGTAATATATCATATTGTGGTTGGGAGTGTCTACTACATTTTTCTTTATGTCTTTTCTAGCCAAATCCCATCCCTCATGGCTGCCATCTTCAATATTAGATACAGAGTAGGTCTGGAGAGATGGATTCAAGATATCTGGGTGATTGGTGGATTTGGCTCGAAAGCCTTCTATCGTTCCACAATTATTGATTACCTTTTGAATTCCATCATGTAGACCTTGGTCTCTGTCACTAAGTTCTTTTACTGTATCTCCTCTTTCCATGTCCCTTTCTAATAGGTCAGTTTTCTCAAAATAATTTTCATTGTTTTTAGTACTTTCCTTATACCCTGCTCTTAGATCTTTCCTAGTTTCCACTTCATTAATTTTTAAAGTCCTATTGTCTTCCTTTCCTATGGTATTAAGAAGTTCTACCACTCTGTTTCCTGTCCTTTCACATGCTTTCTCTTCAAATTCCTCTGTACCTTCTAGGGTCTTGATATCAATAGCTCCAGTGTCTACCTTTTGACACGTCTCCACACCTGTCCACAGAGAATCTTCTATCTTCTTTTTCTCTTCCTCTTCACCTGACTTCTTCATATCTTCATGACTTTCTTTGAACAGGCCAGCTGTGTCCATGGCTGGCATCTCTGAGTCACGTGAGTCATATGGCTGCTCCATCTCCACACAAGCAGCAATGGCAACTCCAGCCTTGGGCACGGGCTTTGGGGACAGTCGTTCATTTCCACCTGGAAGGGCTGGCTCTGGGGCATGCTCACCCTGTTCAGCTACAGGGGGCCAGTCAGCAGACGAAAGCAGTTTGGTGGATAATCTTATGCCTTGCTCTGCTTGGTAGAGACATGCAGAGTCTTCTCCAAACCCACCTGAGGTAATTTCCTGGCTGACCCTGTCTGTACTAGCATCAGGGCCCCAAGTAAATCCACCTATATCATTTTGAGATCTTTGAATTTCTTCGGCCAACCCACTGTCTGGAGTTTCCTCCATGATCAGGTTACACAAGGACAGACTTTTTGAAGAGTCAGGCTTTAAAGTATGCAGAAGAGCAAAGGGAAAAAAAACAAAAAAAAACAAAAACAAAAGATGAAACAGATCATGGTAAGATTTGATGAGAAACACAAAGCTCTTCAGGTGGGTAGCACCAGTAAACCAAACTGGAAAGTGTTTACATTCATTGGCTTAAGGTTTAAATTTATGACTAGCAATGCCACGGGGAAACAATTTACTGTAGAAAATATATTACGTATGTAATGCATATCAAATATCAAAAAAAAAATTCCAGAATTTTCTGGATATTTACCTACCGGCTGTACCAAATCAGTGCTTGTCTGTATGGGTAAAGAAAATAGTAACAATAAGGCAAGAGAAGAAAATTCAATAACACAATAAAATCCTCTGCTGTCTAGAGTCAACATTCTGCTGAAGGCTACAGCTTTTACTGGTTTAGGATCAAATTTTACAACTTGTTTTGTGATGCAAATGATTTTTGTTCCAAAATTGTTTAAGACCACTGTAGAAAAGGCACAACTGAAACATAAAGAAAGCCTCTGTCATTGTCTAGCATCAACAGGATATTTTATGGCTAGTACATGACTTCTGCTTTAGCAGACTCTGAAATGTGAAGTTTCAAACGCATAAGCAAATTTGAGAACATCGGACTAAGATCAAACACTAGAGGTCAAGAAATTACACAGTTGCATATATTCTAACACAGTATCAGATGAAAATCTTCCCCAAACTCATCCTATACTTCGCTCTGCCTCTGAGGTGGCAGAAAGATGGAGGAGAGTCTGATATTAACTGATATTAACTGACTGGAGAGTTCTCTTGATGTCATTCCCCCAAATCAGCAGCCATTTTCGCCACATAAGGAAAAACTCTTGGGAAGTTGAAAAGATTAATAGCTGTGAGCAATTACGTTCAGAAAGCCATTGTTTTGCATTTTTGTTATCGGTACCATTCCTACCAAGTTTGTCCTCTGAAATGTTCAAAAGCTCCTTCTAGATGATACCTTCAGCCTTTCCATACCCTCCTAGCTAGGGAAGGAAAATGCATTACAGTTCCACTGGAGACATAAAATATTGGGATAAAAAAATAGCATTGTCTTTTTAATCTCCAAGAAAATTAACACAGAGTAGAGGTTAGAATTCAAATGACTTGAACATCAATCCATGCATGCCTTTTTTGTGAGTATATGAGTAAAACTTTTCACTAGAAAAGATATAACTTTGTCATTGGTGATTTCCATTGACATTTTTAATCTGTCTTCTTGAGCACTTTCCTTGAAGCTCCAGGGATCTTAAAGAGTACAGTATATCCCTGTGATTGCAGAAGGAGGGGACAGACATCTTTTGGTTTTGAAGGGAGAAAGAAAGAAGCAATGTCAATTCAGAAGTGGCATTGCCCATGAATAGCTAGATCAATCAAACTCCCCTTTTGCTGCCTCACTATACATGAAAACATACAACTTAAGTTGCGTTCTTAAGACATATGACCAGCCTTTTCTAAAACAAAGGCCCTGCTCCAAGGGATATGAGGCTGTAGAGGTGTGCAACCAATCTCCAATTTCACAGCACCAATGAGATCACTACAGAGCTGTTTGTGACACTTAACTATCTCTAAATTCTCGAGTAATTATCCTTACACATCAGACTAGCTGAATAAACATCAGCAATAATATCTACCTTTTATTGATACATACCAGACACCAGCTACATACTTTACAATTATCTTACTTAAACCTCACACAATCTTCTGAAGTAGGCATCATTGCCCTTATTTTACAAATGAGAAAAACCGAGGCTTAGAAAGTTTTAGAAATTGCTCAAAGTCTCAAGGTTATAAATAGTAGAGTTTGGACTCAAATCCAGGGCCATCTGTCTCTAAAGCTCAAGTAAGATCTTATTAACCCAAGCTTCATTGAATATAATGATTTTTTAAAATGGTTCCATGTGCCAAGCAGCCCATCTCTTCCATTGTCTCATTCACACGTTCCTTGTCTTCTATTTAAATGCAAAAATAGCTGTGTACGTCCACTACCACAGCTTCTCTTGCCACCAACTACCAAAGGAAGAAACAAAGGGCCAAATTATTGACCATTATCCAAATTCTTGGCCATTATTCACCCAGGAGTCTGGTCCACTGTACTCTTCCTTCACCATCATCTTCAGGTTATGATAATGCTCAAGACTTTCACTGACCTAATGATCATTCTAGGGGACTACATTCTCATTAAATTTATGGGTCTTCTTTCTGTTGCCAATGAAATCAAATATAACAATGTTTGCAAATTTCTGGGGATCAAGATACAAGAAAACAGTTATTAGTGGCTTACCGTCCACAGGTCCCAGGGCAATGTCTGAAAGCAAATAAACAAAAATACTGTTAGTTATACAAATCCAAAACATAAAAAATGCTGAGGTGACAAAAGTTATTGAAATCATAAGCATTTTTTAAGCATTTAGTACAGCACTGCCCAATAGAACTGTCTTTGGCAATGGAAATGATCCATATCTGTGCTTATCCAGTATGGTAGCCACTAGTCACATGTGGCTACTGAGTACAGGAAATGTACTAGGGTAACATAATCACATTTTAAATTTTACATAATTTTATTATGCTTAATATAAGCTTAAATGACACTTAGCTTTGGATAGCACAGGTCTAATCAATCTTGCCTTTCACTATGTGAGTAGAAAACTATACCTGAAACACGAATAAGATTACTTTAATACACACACACACACACACACACACACACACACACACATACACACACACACAAACACACCTCATTAAAATGAAGTAAACAAGGTGTTCCAATATTAGAGCTTATCACGTCTTTGAGGAAATGCAGACCCTAATCACTGCTAATGCTATTTCCTTCCCTTCTCATTCAAGAAAATATATGATGACCAGTTTGATGGTAAATGAGCCCAAGAAAAATAGTTTTTCAATATGTTGAATTAGATGATAACACACCGCTCAACTAATCGGTAATCATGCAAGTTGGCAGAGTACCCCCTAAGACATATGAATGAATTACATTTACTACTCGTATTTTAATTAAAAGCTTATGGATCCTGCGGAGTGAGGCCAGATGGTTCAAATGACTTCCACTATAGGTTGCAGGAGTATGGGATACTTCTCTTTTCTTATTTGCTTCATGAATGAGAATTGCTGCTAAAGCCACCTCCCTTTATGCCCATGTTTTTGTGACTAGAATAGATTTATGTTTATGCACTTAGGGAAGCTTTGAATCACTAAATGTGAACAGCAAACTAGAGAGCTTGGCATTCCAACCTTAGAGATATGATGGTTTCCAGTTGAGATCACAGAGGCCTCATTTGGGCTGTGTATTATCGAAAGCGAACCCTGTGGTTCTGACTGGTACCTACCCACCTGGTTGGGTCCCATTCTAACTGCTCTGCACTGCCCGCCTTGCCTCTCCATGCAGCCTGGCTGGTCTCTTGCTTAGCATCTTCTGGTAAACTGACTATGACAGGAGAGGAGAATAGCTCCATGGAAAGCCACGATTGTACATAGATTTAATACATATTTTCTGATTATCTAGATGGTTCCCATTTCATTGCTTCATAGCCCCTTAAGAATCCAAGATCATAAAAGCTAGTACATGTCTTTGCATAATGCAGATGCACCAGTATTTTCTTCAAAAGGAAGGCAGGAAATGTGAAATGTCATGTTCATCAATCCTCAAGATCATGAAAGGGTGAGTTAGCATGCAAAGAAATTGCAGAGATCACAAAATCAGGTGTTCTGCTAGCAGCAAGAACATCACTTGAAAACATGGAGTCAGGTGATGGGTAAAGGAGATCACTTTGAGTGAAGATGAAAGAAAGTAGGCAGACCTAACAGTGGTGTGCTTTTTTGTCACTCAGCCAAGACTTTTGTTCTTAGCCAAAGAGGAGAGGTCTGATCAGACCTGGATTGCAGGACAACCATAGTGCAGCGATTCAATTATGGCCACCAGAAGGCTGGAGAGTTTTATTACCTGGCCCTGAGGAAGAGCACAGGGACACACACAGCTTGCCCTCACTGCGGTGATATATGTCCCTCAGAACTAAGACTTCTGAAGATTAAATCAAGGTCATTTTTGTTTAATTTTGAAGAATCTCTTAGTCTTATGGCCACACATAGTTTCATGATTTATGGATTACTGTAATCATGAATTAATATAGAAGAGGTTTTTCCCCTGACTCAAACTTGCAGTCAGAAATGCTATGAAATCTCACCCACTAATCATTCCAGCATCTACTGCAGAAACTTTGCATCTGCCACAAAAGTAATGAAGCATGGAGAGTGAGGTAGAGGAAATCCCGTGAATTCTGCTGACTATCTATACAATGAGAGCGCTCTGAGAAGGAAGTATATTGAATTATATGCACGTTCACTTTGTACTTTTCTTGGTCACCAAGGTGGAACTCTCAAACTTGCTAACAATACTTCACATTTCTCTAAGTATTGTTTTAGAGAACATTCCAATGAATATTTAAAAAAGTTCAATCAACATAGATTTCTGTGGTCAAGCAAATTTGGGAAACTCTATGTTAAACAAATACAAACAGTTTTCTTTAATTGCGAACTTCTCAGTCTTTAATATTCTAATGCACATACCAGGAATCTCTTAGAAGAGAGTTAATTCAGGAGGCTTCCTGAAACATTCACCTAAGAGACCCATTTTTTTTGCAAAGCATCTTTAAGGCTAGTGTCTAGACTATTAATCCCCTACTTTATTAACACCTTAGACATTTATTGTTTCTATTTTACAGCAGAGAGGCCTTTAAAAGTTCAATTACATTCTAGAAGAAAGCATGGAATAGACATAATCCTTACCTACTGAGGTTCACATTGAGCTGTTTGTTCTCTAGCAGTTTACTGTGATATGCCAAGAAGACTTTAAGACCAGGAAATCAAGCTAGGTCTCAAGTCCTAGGCTGAATGTTATGATATTCTCACTAATTCATTTGAAGCATACTCTAGCAACTTTGGATTTGCCTAAATTCAAACGTATGGCTCCAACCATATGCAAAGTACTGATATACAGTTTCTGTTTCATTAAATTTTCAGTTAACGTCCTTCTATTAGCATAGAGAGTTGTAAACTAACTATATTTCAGAGGACCTACCCACAGGTCATTATGGTACCAGCACCAGTATCCTCTGACAGGGAACATTATGACAGTAACTATCAGAATGGAAGAAATGTGGAGAGAGAGGGAATGATGAGCAAAAAGGCTTAGGGAAGCAAGGCAACTCTCCATCAAACCATAATCACGATCACAGGAGGGAAGCTTCTTCAATGTGGAGGATGAACACAGCATCGAGTTCAGAGCTATCAACACTGAAAATAGCTTATGCTGGAGCATGCTCTCATGGTCATCGCAAACATGCCTTAACTTGCAAAGTATGAGGAAGGGAAGTAGAGAAAACAGCAAGAAGAGTAAACCCAAAGCTAAAAGAAAGAGCCTCATCTAGGGAAGCCATAGAGTGTATCTTGTAAACCTGAACAGTTCTGAGTGCAAAGTGGGGCACTGGTAACAATTATTCTGTGAGGGAAAACAGGAATGTGTGGTTATGCCAGCTCTATGGGTAGAGAAAGCTGATGGCATGGCAGGCTTAGAATAACTGATACTGAAAAGGTCCCCTTTCTACTCCTCTTTCCTATTAGGAAATATATGTCAACCACAAATAAAAATAGATAGCAGGCATGAAAGGTATAGGGATCATCGATTATCATACTGAGTTTATTGACATTTATGAAATATCATCTCCAAACATCCAAAAAGCACCTGATACCTGAGACATGGGTGAGTGGGTCACTCCAGCAGAACCTGCAGGTGTCACCTCTGGCTTGAAAGGGTCAAAGTCCAGATCCAGCAAAGTCTCCTCTTTCTTCACCTCAGGGACTTCGTTCTGTTAAAACAAACAACAAAACAAAACGTGTATTCCCTTGAATCTGATAAGACCATGATATAGCCCATGTATAATCTATCTATTATTTTTGGATATCCCAAAACTCATATTTATAAGCATGGTGCCTCACCCATGTTCACCCAGTTACTCAGCTAAATGCAGTGAGAAGGAAATAACTAACTCTGGCCAAGTATAACCTGAGCTGCCCTGGAACATGTCCCTAGCTCCAGCTCCTGTCCTTTGTCTAGCTCCAAGTCCAGTTAACAATGTTCCAAGGATGTATCCTAATGTCACCAAGATGCAAGGAATCTTTTCCTCTGTTAGCTCAGAGAATTCAGATCAAGAAATTACAGATGACCCAGTCAATAAAACAGGCCACAATCTGGACCCATTATAGCAATACTGCTGATGTTCCTCTGGGAAGCTAAAATTTTAAAAGGAAGAGGTCATTGTGTACTGCTGATCACATCCCACCTGCCCCATTCCCTCACTGGCACCCTATCCCTTGATTTAGTTAACATTTGATCCAGTCTTTGTCCATAGTATTGTTAGTTTCAATTGTGTATGTGTATGAATGAAGATGAATGGGAGGGAGAGAGGAGGGAGACAGCCATGTCTCCCAACATTTGCTCAAAATGAGCTCCCATTAATAATATTTTTGGATTAGAAAGAAGATAAGCCAAATAAGACACAGGATGAAAGTCCTGCTTTGATAATAATAAAAAAAATCTATAATACTACACACAAACTTCTGTTCATTTATTTGCAGTATCATGAAACATGAAGACAACGTGGGCTTGAAGTTGGCCTAAGCCAGGCTCAAGTTACACAGTAAGGGGCAGGGCTAAGTATATCACAGAAGAGAGAGTTGGGGTCAGTTTTCATACAATATAAATTACATGTGTTTAGCATTCAATATAAACTTCTTTCAAAACACTTTATTGCCTAGAAATTGAAACGTCAAACTAATTGAATAAAGTATTACAAAATAGCAGATTTTTGAAGACAGATTTTTGAAGAACAGGAGTTATTTTAACTAACATTAATCACAGACATTAAAAACTGAGAAATGCATGAAAAGTGAGTGGGTATAACCTAAAAGCTTTTCTTGGCATATCTGCACTCATTGCAGAAGAAAGCTGCTAATGTATCATGCTATTAGCCTTGCCTTTTTCTATTTTGTAGCATGAGTACTCCACATATATACTTCAAAAAAATTTCACAAGGATAATGCCCTTCTGAGATCTCTCCTTTCTTTAATAATTATAAGCACAAAACTATCGACTGATGCCCTATTGAAAATCTGAATAAGCTTTGCCTTTCACCAACTTTTATATTGGTAAAAATTATATTTTTAAAATTTAGTAAACATATGATACTTGGAGTATGATAGGCACTGTTTTAAGAACTTTACACATATGAACATTACCTCATGTTAACACGCTTTGGTGCAGGCTCATGTTGACAACACTTTATTGCCTTTAAAACATTTATCTCACCATATTTTCCAAACTGCATTGTACCTGCATTGTCAAATATAATCCTTACAAAAAATTAAGGGAGACATGGCAGCAGTTTCCCATTTGGGAGAATGAAAAGAACTGGCTGGACAGTTATCTATTGCCATGGTCCCCTGCTGCTATGCAGCAGAGGTAAGACTGCAGTTGGAACCCCTGGCTCCAATGCCTGCCAGGCTGCCACTGATGCCCCAGTCCCACGTTTCTCAAATAGGGGCCCCAAGAATCTGCAGAGGAATTCTCAAAGTTCTACAAGTTTTCCGTAAAATGTTAGGCCATGTGAATATATTCATTATTACCTTTTAAGCCAATGAATCCCCTTAAGGAAGCTCAAATGGGAATTTAGAGATCAAGAATGAAAAGGGGCATCAGACTAGAAGGGGCTATGCTCAGACTTTGATTGAGATCAACCTGGTTTTATACCCCAATTTTGCCACTTGCTAGCTGTCTCTCCCTGGCCAATTCATTCAGTTTCTTTGAGCCTCGGTTTCTTCATGGATTACCATGAGTAATAAAGATGATAAACACACATGTACATAATATCTAAGACACTCAAAATGGAAATGGAAGCTAATGTTATTAATTACTATTAGTAACAATGCATACATGTGATTATGGTTTGGCTCTGTGTCCCCACCCAAATATCCTCTTGAATTGTAATCCCCATGTGTCAAGGGAGGGACCTGGTGGGAGGTGACTGGATCATGGGGGTGGTTTCCCAGACTCTGTTCTCACAATAGTGAGTGAGTTGATGGTTTAAGTGTGGCACTTCCCCCTTTGCTCTCTCTCTCCTGCTACCATGTAAGATGTGCCTTGCTTCCCCTTCCCCTTCCATCAAGATTGAAAGTTTCTGGAGGCCTCCTCAGACATGCAGAACTGTGAATCAATTAAACCTTTTATTCTTTATAAATTACTCAGTTTCAGGTAATTCTTTACAGCAGTGTGAAAATGGACTAATACAACATGTGAGTATGTAAAATCACTGTCATCAAATATCCATAATGCCAATTTGACTGCCTTCAAAATATGTAGCTGTTTTTTTCAGGCTTAACTTCTACTTAGCATTGCCCTCTTAGTCTTGAGAATTATCCCTTAAGGTACTCATGTCAAAGAGAATTTTGGTAAAGCTACAAAAATAGCAATAGGATTTTGCCTTTTTATGTAGTATTCATTTTTAAACGGGCAGGAAAGCACTCACAATTCTGTCACTACATGTTGAAACACAGTAAGGTGTAATTTTTCTCAACAAGACAAATGAATTCTGTACATCTTCATTACAATTAGAGTACATATAGTATGGTCCCAACATCCTTAGCTTTTTGGGAACTTGATCATAAGTACTGCTTTACCACCAAAAATCTGCAAGGGCTGACTTGGAATGTGCTCCTAAGAAAGGAGACCAGCTGTGGAAACCACAGTGGGGGCAAATCTTCCAACAGGAAAACACTGCCAATTACAATAATCTGTGCTATGTTTCATGAGGTGTCTTCTACTTGGGACATCAAAATTTATTAGTAAGGTACTGGATCTCTTGCAGTGAAAATGTATAATTTGAGCATAATCCTTATGCCTAACCTTGCCATGTCTTCATAACAGATGGATTTTACTTCTCCATACCTTACATGAGGTTGACCATAAGTCATGGTTTAGCTAATGGATATTAGTTAATGTAATGTAAGCAAAAGCTCGAAATGTGTTTGCATGGTTTGCTGGTTGGTTTGTATTTCTGCCATTCACCATGAAAAGTACAGCCTTGGGTAGCTGTTGGTCCCAAAAGAATGAGAGACACATGAAGCACATGTGGACCAAACATAATCTAACTTTCTAATCAGTGTTAAAGATAAATTCATACAAAGAACCAGAAAAAAGAAGACATTTCACTAACAAAGGAACAACATGAAGGTAGCAGCAGATTTATCACCAGAAATAATGAAGCAAAAAGCCAGTGAGGCAAAGTACTAAGAAAAAGAAACTGTCAACTTAGAATTATATGCGTCTTGAAAATATTTTTTTTAATAAGAATACAATGAAGATTTCAGACAAACAAAATCAGAAAGAATACATCACCCTCATATTCACATTACAACAATGTGAAAGACATCTTTCAGGCAGGGGAAGATGATACCAGATAGAAATATGCATCTATACAAAGGAGGAGCACCAGAAACAGTAATTACCTAGGTAAGTATATGTGAGTTTTTATTATTTAAATCTTTTAAAAAGATAATTGGCTACTTAAACAAACAAACAAACAAATAAAAAACAAAGTAATGTGAAGTTTATAACACAGATAAAATAAAATTCATGACAAAAATGGCACAAAAAAAAGAAGTGAGGAAATGAGAGTATATTATTATATTTTTATAGACTTCTTTAAATGACATTGTATCATTGAAAGTTAAACTATGATAAATTAAAATGTATCCTCAAACCCTAAAGTAACCATTAAAATAACAAAGAAGTTATAGCTAGTAAGCAAATAAAAAAAATAAAAGAGAATAAAAAATGTTCAATGAATACAAAAGAAAGCAGAAAAAGAAGGGTTAAATGAACAGAAACATTGGAAAACAAGTGATCAGTGTGCTAGACTTAAACTTCACCTTATGAATAACCTATGAAAATGGTCTAAATCATGCAATTAAAAGGCGGAGATTATTTAATTATACAAAAAAAAAAGACCCAACTAGATACTGTCTATAAGAAACGAACTTGAAATATGTAGAAACAAATAGTTTTAAAGTAAAAGAATGTAAAGATACACCATGCCAGTATAACCAAAAGAAAGCTGTAGTAATTACATTAACAATAAAAAAATAGATTTCAAATCAAAGAATATTATCATAAAGAGGATCATTGCCTAAACACTTCTGAACTCAGTTACAGAGCTCCAACATAAAGCAAAAACCAAGAGAGCTGCAAAGAAAAATAAAAAAGTGCACACATTTTTATAGGAAAGACTTCAATACTCCTCTTTCAATAATTGAAAGAACAAATAGAGAATATGAGCAATGGTATAAAAGAATTAGATAACACTATGACTAAACTTGACCTAATTTACACTTATAACATTCTATCTAACAACAGCAGAATATATATTCTTTTTAAGTGTACATGGAAATGTAACACGATAAGAAGTATCCTGGGACATTAAATAGGTCTAAATTAATTCTTTTTTTCAAGGCCCTATCTGTGGTTTTATTTCTAAAAACAAACAATGAATAAACAAAATGGAACCTCATTCTTGGATATACAACCAGAGACAATGCTAAAGTTCCCAGTACAACTCTATTATAAAGACACATGCATGCATGTGTTCATTGCAGCAATATTCACAAGAACAAAGACATGGAATCGACCTAACTACCTAGCAATGAAAGCCTGGGTAAAGAAAATGTGGTGCATATATATATATATATGTATGTATATGTGTGTGTATATATATATGTGTGTGTGTGTGTGTGTATGTATATGTGTGTGTGAGTA